GAATATGGAAATACCACTTTGAACTAAGTAGAATTACAACTGTTTAAAATGTAAATCAATTATAAGGTGTTAATACAATAAGAAACTTACTTATCCACATGAAAAGTGTGTCAGCTATTAATTAAACTTATTAGAGGTTATATGTCCCTGAAAAAGTAGTTTGTATAATATAAGTTAAGCCTCAGGTTAATGGTTAATTTTGAATTTTATTCTTCATCTAATCTTTGAGCCAATGGCTCTTCTTTCTGAGTTTTTAATCATGATTTGTAGAGGTTCCAGCAAAGCCAAAAATTCTCCCCTTGTTAGCAAAAAGTCCATACAGCATTCTACACAAATGTTATTAAATGACTACTGAGCATCTTTGAATATTTTGAGGAGCAGTTGTTCAATCTCAAGGATGATAGAAATATCGTCTAAAAATAACATGCATTGGGAAAAATGTTATATCCTGACATCGTAGAATTGCAAGACAGGCAGAATAATATAAGATGTGTTTCCTTCCATCACTGATATACCAGTGGTAATATCTGATAATTCCAATAGTGTTTTTATGTCTACATTCAAAGGTGACCTTGGCAATTTCCAAAGCCCGGCCCAAACTCTCCACAGACTGTCCACAATTCCTATCACAAGGGCGAATTCTACTGTAACATATGGCAGATACTGCCACCGGTACTGCCAGAAGTCAAAACAGATCTTTTTTTAAAGCATAGTTCAGTTAATGTCACTTCAAGCTTTATGGATTTTGGAAGGGTACTCAACTGTGATAGCTAATGGAAGAGCTGGCACAGGGTCAAAGCTTCAGCAGTTAAAGCACCTTCCATTGGGCCCAATTACATAGATTACAACAGTGACTGACAGCTCAAAAAGGTCTGTTTCAAGTCACTAATACCTAGTAATAGATACCAGTAAAGCCACATGAATCACAACTAAATAGATTCTTGATGAAAATAAGACAAACTGATCTGAAGTGTTGATGGCCAGAAGAAACCTAGGAGAGGCTGACTCATCCCTGCCTCCCAACGTCCACAGACTCGGTTTTCAGGAGTGCTATTTTTATCAACCAGGATCATGAAATGTTGTTGACATTTTATCATTCTTAATGATGTCTTTTCTGCAGTACAGCCTACTTAGGAAACTCAGACAAGTCTGCTCAAATCAACTGAGCACAGCTTGGGCTAAGCTGAAGAACTGAAGGAAGAAAGAGACTTAACAACAAATCTTACAGCAGCCCTGAGCTATCAAGTTCGGGGCTCTGGAGATGCCCAGTGTCCAAAGCAGCTTCACTCTTGTGTTCTCTGGGGAAAGGATGACAACTGAACTGTGACATTAGCTCTGGTGACAGGCTTACAGCTCAGACTGTTCATAATTCAGGAACAGCGGCATCAGAGAAAACACATTCAGATTCAGAATAAAAAAATCAGACATATGGCTTCCCCCCTACAGCGCAGACTTTACCCATGTATATCAGCAGAGGGCAGTGTCGGACTGTTCAAATGCTGCAGACCCACACTAGGAAAAGGGTCCAAATGTGTTGCAGTAACATTTATGTGTGTACATCCATTGCATTTATATAAAACTTGATGTTGGCCAGGCACGGTGGCTCACGCCTGTAATCCCAGCACTTTGGGAGGCCAAGGTGGGCAGATCACCTCAGGTCAGGAGTTCGAGACCAGCCTGACCAACATGGAGAAATCCTGTCTCTACTAAAAATACAAAATTAGCCGGGAGTAGTTGCACATGCCAGTAATCCCAGCTACTCGGGATGCTGAGGCAAGAGAATCACTTGAACCCGGGAAGCAGAGGTTGCAGTGAGCGGAGATCGCGCCATTACACTCCAGCCTGGGCAACAAGAGCGAAACTCCGTCTCAAAAAAACAAAACAAAACAAAAAACTTGATGTTTTAGGTATGCACAAAGTTCAGGAGGTTTCCAATCTAGAATTTTTACTTAATTTAACCAAAAATTCCAGGTTCAAAAGAACTTTACAAAAGAAAAACATAAAAGATAACGTGAGACTTCACAGAGGTACGATTCAGGTACGATTCATCATCTGAAATTACCCCTCATGTGCACTATGATGTTCTGATTCTGCCCGAATTTGAAACAAATGGTACTGACAGAATATGGGAGGAAGAAACACCCACGAAAGGATGGGCAGAATTTGCAAGCTTCACTTAACAAAAGATGAGGTTTTTTTTCTTGCCTTAATATCACAACATATCTTTTTAAAGAAGGAAGTGTAATCAAGGAAGTAGTTTGCCCAAATGGTATTCCAATTGCCCAGGTGCTGAGTAGTAGCAGCTGGTAACTGACTTCTCAGCATCATAAAATTTCTTTACAGTCTTAAAACAAGTAATTGAAATATTTTTGGTACAAATCCTGAGACGTATAACTTCAGTTCATTTTTTAAAAATGGTTCCAAATGAGAATTCAAGAAAACTGAAAATCACCAAATTACACTCAGAAAGCTGTAATTCACAAAATTAATAGCAGATTTGACAGAGATGACATCTCACACGCATTTACCTTCATGGAAGCTTTTAGCTCAGAAGCGTCATACTGAGCAGGTGTCTTCAATAGGCCCAAAATCACCGTCTCCAGGTGGCCAGATAAGGCTGACTTCAGTGCTGATGCAAGTTCCTTCAAGAAAACAGGCAATCATGAGGAAAATATTTATTTTACTTTAAAACTGGTGAGTAAAACAAAAGTAAAAGGGATCTTTTTGTGAAGCAGGTTGTGAGTCTTTGACTACTCCAGAGTCTTGGGTCAAACGCCCTCAACTGCATTCCCTTCAACAGACCCACATCTCAGAAACATAAACATCGGGCTTTGCTTTAACGAAATTCCTTAAAATCCAAGTTAATTTTGCCTTCTTCCCCAGTCAATAAAAGGAAACTGGAGTCGTATGTGATTCCTCAGAAAGCTGTGAGAGTGCAGGCACTTTGCAATATGCTTGAAAGTGGTAACACCCCGTGGAAGGCCGGACACTTTCCGAGATCAAGGTCCCTGCTAAGGAGGAGGTGTTCAAGCAGCCAGCCTCCTGGGAAGCAGATCTTGTGGCCTGCTGATATACTGTAAAAGACATGGGGGCAGCCAGTCCAGCAGCAGCTCCTCAAAGTCTCCAGAAGGAACCAGAGGCCCCAGCACAGTTGGAAGTGAGGTCATGAAACTTTCCTATGCAAAACACTGTATCTAATACTGAGAAAATATCTCTTTGTCCACACCAAACTGGGACCGTGTTTAACGGAAGTGATAGGAAACCAACACCTCCGAATTGGCCCCCTTGAATTCGCAGCTGCATATAATTTCTTAAGGGTTCCACTGTCACCATGAACACAGAAATTTAAGTCAGAGGTCTGGTCAGCACCCATGTACGTAGACAGACACCCCAACTCAATGTGGCTTTTAGCGATGCTTCCTCGGGCTAAACTTTCTACAAATCATGGCTGATGACTGAAACCTCCTACTGAAATAAAGTTCTTCTTTTCACTTTTTCCTTTCTCTTCTCTCTCTTCTTTCTTTCTCTCCTTGCTTTCTAAGAGCACCCGTGGCATCCACAAAACTTAGCCCCTAGAGGTACTTGCAGGATACGAGAGGTGATTTTCAGCCTGCTTCAGAGACAACCATCTTGAATCATTCGTGATATCAAAAGTGTTAGAAGGATCTTAGAAGCCATCTGGCCCAAGCCTTTCGCCACCCATTTCTTCCTGCTTCCCAATGTCCTGGGAACACACGGCACTTAGGAGAGGACTGTAAAAGCAATAGCTCCCAATTATAACACCAGTCTCCCAGTTTGGAACTTTGAGGTTAGGTAACTCCAAACTTAGCCTACCCTTGACACTCCCCTCTACCCATTCTCTGTTCAAACCTCAAATAGCATTTGGGCACCTACTGACTTCTTCTACTTCTATTCTAAACTCCTTATGGGCGTTCAACTTCCTGTTTCTCACAATGTCCAGCACAGAGCTTTGCATTTAACAAAAACTAAACAAAAACTCCAGAAATGTATGATAAACAAAACATAACCATTCCCTGTAAGGAGAAGCCTCGCATCTGGCGTCTGCTAGAACATGAAAGAATCGTAAAAGCAGCTGTCTCTCCCAGCTCCTCTCCGCTCTGCTAGCCGGGCCCAGGTTCTTCAAGCTCATCACCTGGGCAGCCGCAGCCCATATCCCTAAAGAACTCTGCAACACAAATCTTCTTATTTCACAGACTTTCTTTATTTCACAAACAGCCGATTGCTTCACTTGAAACTATCTCAAGTAGTTTACATATCTTTTATAAAAGATACATAATTCTCCTTGGCCTAAGGCTGAGAGTCAAGAATTAGAAGGATGGTGAGCTGTCCCCAGCACACAGCAAAGCCTGTGAGATCTTGGGGACCTCATCGTAATTCTGGTAATATCTTCTCTCCAAGAGGGTACATGGGAGCTTTGTTCTCCATATATCTAATCTAAAACCAGTATCTAGGTTTTGGGTGTGGTGGCTGATGACTGTAATCCCAGCAGTTTGGGAGGCAGAGGTGGATCATATGAGTCCACATGGCAGAAGTTGCAGTAAGCTGAATCATACCACTGCAGTCAAGCCTGGGTGACAGAGCAAGACCCTGTCTCAAAAAAAAAAAAAAAGATCCAGGCTTCTATGTTTGTGTGTACACACCCAAACGTATTCCGAGACCAGACTCTGTAAGTGACAGCTGAAAGATCAATTTTTGTGCATGCTGTCCAGAGATGAGCCTTCTGCTCCAATGGGAACTTGGCTCTAACCAGCTCACAAACCCTCTTGGGAAGCTGGAGAAATAAAGCACTCCCCTCTGTGCCTCACTACAGAAGATTAATATACGTCTAGAGAAAG